AACCCTCTTGCTGTTTGCATCTGATCCGTGGTCTCGGCGTGTTCCTTGGGTTTGGGGTCTCTCCTGAGGGAAGATCTCCTCTGGGGGTCTTTCATTTGGGGGCTCGTCCGGGATAGAGACCCCTCCCTGGGACCTCCGACCCACCGTCAGGAGGTAAGCCGGCCGGCCTCGGTATATGTCATCCCTGTCCTGTCTGAGTGTTGTCTGCTTGTCTGCGCGCATCTGGTAATCTGTCTGTGGCGGTGGGGGCTGAAGGAGCTGACGAGCTCGGACTTCGCCCACCGTAACCCTGGAAGATGTTCCACGGGTGTCTGAAGTCCCCTCCGGGGCACGGTTTTTCGGGGCCACTCACGTATCCGAGGGATACGTGGTGTTGGTCGGAGACAAGGGGTACGGACCCTCGCAGTCTCCTGAGGTTTTGCTTTCAGTTTGGAACCGAAGCCGCGCAGTGCATGTTAGTCTCATTTGCGTTTGTCTGTCGTTCTTTGTTTTCTATTTAACCGTTCTCCTCCTAGAAACAGCCATGGGACAGACTGTCACCACCCTCCTGAGCCTCACGCTTAACCACTGGTCAGACGTGAAGGCACAAGCCAACAACGAGGGAGTTGTAGTCAAGAAGAATAAATGGATCACCCTTTGCGAGGCCGAATGGGTCATGATGGATGTAGGATGGCCTCGCGAGGGAACCTTTAACCTCAGACTTATTTCACAGGTGGAGGGACAAGTCTTCACTCCGAGTCCCCATGGCCACCCGGACCAGGTCCCATACATCGCCGTATGGAGACTCCTGGCGACAGAACCCCCTCCATGGGTTAGGCCGTTTCTCTCCCCTCCAGCGCCGGCAGCAATGCTCGCCGAATCCCGGGGCCGGGGGAGTGGGGAAGATGGCTCGGGGGCGGCGTCACCCGTGGGCGCCGAGCCACCCAGCCCCGAGTGTTACACCTCCTCCACAGCACCACCGCTCCCTCTCGCCCCTCCTACCTCCTCCCTTTACCCTGTTCTCCCACGAAAGGATCCCCCTAAGGCCCCTGTCCTTCCCCCAGACCCCAATTCACCTCTTATTGACTCCTGACAGAGGACCCACCGCCATACCCGGGGAATCAGGCACCGGAGGGACCGGCGGCCCCTGCAGCGGCGCCGGAGGGACCGGCACCCCCCCCCAGAGGCCCCCGAACAGACTCTACAGAGAGAGCGGGAGGATGAGGCTCCAGCTCCCTCCCCAATTGCCGGTCGCCTACGAGGAAGGTGCGACGAACCAGCCAAAGAATCCAGGGCCTTCCCCCTTCGGGAGGGCCCCAATCACCAGCTCCAATACTGGCCGTTTTCGGCCTCTGATCTTTACAACTGGAAGCAGCATAATCCTCCTTTCTCTAAGGACACTGTTGCCTTGACTAACCTGATTGAGTCCATTTTAGTGACCCACTGGCCCACATGGGACGATTGTCAGCAGTTACTGCAGACCCTCCTGACGGTGGAGGAGAAGCAGAGAGTCTTCCTGGAGGCTCGGAAGCAGGTTCCAGGAGACGATGGAAGACCCACCCAATTGCCTAATGTCATTGATGCAGCCTTTCCCCTCACCCGCCCGAACTGGGACTTCGCGACCCCAGAAGGTAGGGAGCA